CAATTATGTGAAATATTTGATGATATGTATATGCACAAATTGTGGGCAAATGGTTGAATATTCACTCAGATTGACTCTTCCTTCAAATTTACTGCACACCAAAGTAACTCATCACAAAGATAAATCCCATGCAAGCTGAACATCATTCAAAAGCATTAGCCAATAAAAATTTAAATAACTCAAAAAGGAAAGCCTAGAAAACTGGACATATTTCATTTCAAGAAGTTGAAACTGAAATGTTGACATTACCTGTGCCATACATGTAAACTTCTATTGTTCTATTATACATTTCTGAAAGCGCTTGCATTTCTAAGTGGTTACCATGACAATTATCTGTACGTTTTCGATTTATGTAAGCATTAAAATCTTCAGTTACATACTGAGAAAAATGATCAGAATTTTTTAACTGAAAAAAAGAAAAGAAACATGATAATATATATCAGATTTAAGCACTATAATTGTTCACTGATGTACATGCTTTTCAATGTCATCAGATTAAGACAATGAATGAATGGTAATTCATCTTTTTTTAGCAATACAAACACACTGCAAAGATATATCCTTACCGGTATTTGCTTTACAACAGTTATTTGCAGTTTTAATTACTTATGGAGCACAAATTATCAAATACAGAAAACAAATTTAAAATGAAATTGCATTGAAAGGAAAACTCCTGTGAATTGAGGCAGGTTTCATTTAACTGCAGACAGCCGATAAAAATGAGACACACCCTGATCTCAGGAAATACCAGTACCTCATTCATATAGTGCCTTTGCACCAGAGATCACTGACCATGTCCAGGCAATGAACTTTGTGACATTGCGACCAATGCATGCTGAATGACAAAGGGGATTCAAAAATTTTTAACTTTTCGTTTGAAAAACATTTTATTTTTATTTTTGTACAGAGCAAAAAAACAATGAAATCAATGCAGCAAAAGAACAAAGGAAATTGTGGTACTGTTTTGTGCAAGAAAAAAAAATCATGCTCTTCTTCATACACAAAAATAAGTATTTCACAGTATTGAAGCAAAATTCCTGGCAGTAATCACAATGTGTTTTTTGCGAAAAAAAAATGCATGTGTGTGCGAAGGATTTTTTTAAACAAGGGAACAGTGCCCTCATGCCATGCACCCCCTTACCCTGGGGAGCAGATCCTCTGGCAACCATAAAATTGTGATTGACCAAGGATCACATGTGGCCACTGTCTTTAACTGTGACCTGTCTGATTTTGGCCCCAAGGAAGCCATAGAATGCTCCATTTTAACTTAGAATTATCAAAAACCTCCACACCCTGGTGGGGAGAACCCTATCTCCAAACTTGGTGGCACCATTGAATTGCAGTGCTCATTCTTGCAGTTTCTTTCTAGAAAAACCCCTGTGTGCACAACACTAATTTTTCCAATCCAACCAACCTTGCTGAGAGAGATACTCATGACTGTATGACATCATGAATGAATTATCTAAAATCTGTGTATATAATTGATTATTATAATTACTCACCATATAGTCCATGCAGTGATTTCGTACAATGGAATGCATTTCCTGGTCTCCATATACTTGATCAGCTGTAGTGAAAAACAAAAAAAATGCCATGAAGCATTGCATATAGGCAGTCGTACTGATGATAGGGACTGATTGGCAAGAACCGTCAAAAATAAAATAAAGGTGCTGTTCGCTGCTTCCACTGTTGAATGTGTATGTGTTGCTGTTGATAAAACAAATTAGGGCAACTTTGTCACAACAGATCATTTGTTATCAGACATTTACACCTTAGTTGGCTAAAATGTATATGATTTTACTGTGCAATGGACTAATAAAGTATCACCAAGATAAGCAAGCTATAAATTAGCATATTCTGTATTACCGAGTATTACCGAGTATACCGGTACATCTTTAACACACGACTATGATGCAAATTATATAAGTGTGATTTTGATGCATTTTTGACCTTAAAATGGCTGTCACTCATATCAAATGGGCTCTATGAACAAGTGATATCAGGTGACAATCTCATAGTATTATATGAATATTAATGAACCCCATGAATAAATAATGCCGTCACTGTCACATAATATTGTACAATGCACAATACTGTAAAATACTTTATTTTAGCTGGAATAAATTTTCGCTGAAAAGACATTTTGGGTGTTTTGTTCAGAATTTATTTTCACTGATTTTTGACGTGTTGAATGTAAAATATAGGAAAAAAGGTATATTCGCTGAATTTTATTTTCACTGAATTATTCCTTCAATGAAAATAGCGAAGTATTTTACAATATATGTAGAATAAAACACAAGATGTGATGTGTACTACCGTACTCGACCGCGTTAGCGCCCAGGGGCCTCAACTCAGAAAATCACGATTTTTTAGGGGTGGGCGCTTACCCGAGCACCCCCCTCGAAAAAGAGTGCAAATGAAAAATTTGATTCATCAAGCGACAGATTACGTCTTTGAGGGAAATCAAATTACGAAATTAGTTGAGTCGTCATTGATTTTCACAACGAAGAAACAGAAATGATCACAAAAAATATGCACATTTTATTACAATATTTATTACGTACCACCAGAATTTACGAAATTAAAAACATTTGAGTCTGTTGGAACACAGTCAAAGTCAAAATTGTCATATTATCTCCACTGACGAAGGTGTTGGATCGTACGCAAACTCTCACTTTCCGCCATGATGCATTTGCAGATTTCACCTGCAGCGGCGTCCTTTGACCTAATGGGTCAAGTTGGTTATTAACCAATCACAATGCTGTGTTGTACTGACACAATTCTTCGGAAATTCTCGAAGACTTTCCGGTAACGCAATGCGGAAGTGAATTATCGATGTCGAAGTACGATCTGTTGAAATTGATTTCAGCGAATAAACGACATGGTTTTTCCAAAAAACTAGTAACTAGCCATTTTTGAGAGGTAAACTGAATATGGCATGAAATATTTACCGCATTTTACTTGTATTAACAGGTCATTGTCGAAGCGTAGTTTACGCACGGTTACCGCGTTCTACGCATTCACAACATGTTCACAGCGGTCGATATCCACGCTGTATCATATAAAAACGATTACCAAGATTCGTTACGCAAGACCAAGTTTTAAATTAGTTGCATTTTGAAGGGGTGGGTGCTTTGCCGAATGTGAGCCCAAATATAAAAATTGCGCAAAAGTGGGGGTGGGCGCTTGCCCGGGCATGGGCGCTAACGCGGTCGAGTACGGTACTGAAATAGTCCATGGAGTGGATAAAGAGTCACCATGCAACCACTTACCGACTGCACGGAATAAACAAGCTCCATCAGGAACCATTTTCTTGATAATAAAACCTCTTTTTTCTTTTAATGCTTTTTCAAACCTTCTTTCCATCTATAAGTAACAAGACAAACTTTAGTCAATACGGTAACATAGAACATGTAAAATAAGGTCAAGATAGAATAAAAAACTCTGCATACATGTACATAAGTTACTGTCTTCTTAGATATGTCTACTGATTTTGTTTAAACTGGCTTCTGCTTAGCAAAGATGTTAGCAAGTCACTTTGTCTGATGCACCTTGTGGATTGAGGACATACAAACAATGTATGACCAAAAAAGTTTTGCTACGTATAGTAGAATTCTGAGAACATCTCTGTTTCAGAGATGCTGCTGTTGTTGTTGTTTCAAATCAATTGAAATCAATGTTAATTTTGAAGTTAATTTTTTAATTGCATGTATTCAAACAATGTATCTAAGTAGCTGTGAAATATGGAACATACACCTTGTGTTGATGAGGTATTGAATTATAATACAAAAACAAGCAGTCTATCGGCTGAGATAGCTTCGCTGTTAGCAATGCACATTTCAATTAAAGAACTGAAGATATCAATAGAAAAGGAACAATATGTATAGTATCAAAGCAATCGGACTTGCCGTTTTCAACAAGAAGTCGAAAATATTCATTAAAATTAGAGAATTAAACATATCATCACAAAATGAACAAATCTGAGAGAGGTCTACCTGAGATACCTATCAAAGCAATAAGACTTGCGGTTTTTAAGAAGAAGTCAAAAATATCACTTTTTACCAAAAATTACAAAAATATTCACCAAAATTAGAGAATTAAACATATCATCACAAAATGAACCAATCTGAGAAAGGTTCAAATGAAGTATCTATACATGCAATATCAAAGCAATCACATGCAATATCATTTTAACAAGAAGTAAAAAATATATTTTTCCTAAAAATTACAAAAATCTTCACGAAAACAAATCTAGGAGAGGTCTACCCAAGGTACATACAAGTATCAAAGCATTCAGACTTAGTTTTTAAGAAGAAGTCGAAAAAGTAACATTGACACAGACGCCATGTAAAGCATTCAGACTTGTAGTTTTTAAGAAGAAGTCGAAAAAGTAACATTGACACAGATGACGGCGACGACGGACATCGATGGAAAATCATTCATATGATAAGCTCTGCTCGTCAAAGTCAACAGCGGAGCTAAAAATAATAAAACGACATCACTTGTAAATTTTCCCTGCGACTGGAAGCATAACCTTTTTTTTTGGCTTCAAAAGAGCAAACATTTGGGGTCAACATCCTATATAACTAAAAAACTAAGAAGAGTTACACCAGAGAGAGAGAGAGAGAGCACTCAAAGCAAGGGGAATGGATTAAAATCAAAATTGACACCAACTGGGGACAGTGAGTATCTTTAATAGTAACACCTGTTACATTTATGAAATCAGTGTGCAGAGGGGTTATTAATTAATACAGTATACCCGATACCAGGGCAAGCGATTTTTTTAATTGTCTTTTAAAATGGGAATCAAGAAGACTGTCAGTTTCACTAATGTACACCAAGTTACAACGTTTATAAATATTATGAATAAATATACAAATTAATTTAGGTTCGGAGAATATATGTGGATGAGCAGTAATGGATTCTAAGAGACTAATGATTTTATTGGTGGGAGAGAAGTACGGACAAGTCAATCAATGTTTGGTACCAAGGTGGAGAATGTTACTATTGTCATAGAGGCCCTGGGTATTATGTTTATTGTAATTATATGCTTGATTTCAGAGTGTAATATAATATTGGAAATACAGTGAAATAGTATAAAGAATGGGAAGAATGTCAAGTAAATTTTATCAAAACAAATCTGTTATGCATATGCAAAATATGTCATGTGTTGTACACCAATTATTAAGCAATACAAGTGTGTGCAAAAAATGTCAATTTACACTATTTAGTTATCATATTCTATAAAAACTTCTACACCATATCCATATTACCCCGTACAAGTCTGAAATGTTGTATTTATTTATTAACAATTTAGAGACCCAAAATCTTTTATAAATCATGAAAACGCCACCAACGTCACAATTATTTTTAAACTTAGATGCTCATGCTTTGTTATTTACATTCAATGAGCTTATTCAAATTTATCTGTATTATTATTTACAAATAACAAGCATACTTAAATGGTATTTATTCATAAATAATTCATTTTTTTGCATGATATGTAAATAATATAACACAGCTTTCTGATCATTTACAACACACAAAATAGTTTGTATATACTTCCCATAAGAATGACTAAAGAATATAATATGCTGAAAATTGGTTTGCGAATAAATGCTGCAACACAGATTGTTTTTAAAAGAATTTAATATTTATAACTTTTTTATATGTATAAAATATCTCAAATCATAATTAAATAATATTTCAGTAATGAAAGAAAATAATAAATATAAATAATAAGGTGTACATAAATACATGTATATATAAATACAAGTGGCGTATACAACAGATTGTTTATTTACATCAAAACATGTGTTTCGTGTCATAGTAATATGGCCAAAATAAAAACAGTCGTTATTCAGCCATCTTTGATCTGATTATGAAACACACTGATATGTATGATGTATGTGCCAAATACGAATGAAAATGGTACATAAATTGTGGAAATATAGTAGTAAGGCCAAAAAGTCAGATGGCTGTCAATCGGCCATCCTTGACCAGATTTTGAAACGAATTGTTATGGACATGCATCCTAACATGTATAAAGTACATGTATGTGCCAAATTTGAATGAAAACTGACAGAGCACGTCCAAGATAATGCATAAAAAAACAAAAACAAAATGCCTGCCAGTCGACCATCTTTGATCCAATTGCAAAATAAATCGTCATGGACATGTATCCTAACATGTATAATCTATGTACCAAGTTTGATGACAACTGACAAAGCATATCCAAAATACAACATTTTCAAAAAACAAGATGGCTGCCAGTCGGACCATTTTGAATTGAATCGCTAAACCATTGCATGTGCATATGTCCCACATAAGGTACTAGGCACATGCAAAGAATGAATGGAATCGGTCCACATGATTCTGAAATATGACGTTCGATAGACTGACACATGGACAGACGGACACACAGACGGTCGGACAGACAAACTCAGGAACCCTCCGGACGGTCGGGGACATGTATCCTAACATGTATGATCTATGTACTAAATTTGAATGAAAACTGACAAAGCATGTCCAAAATATGACATTTTCAAAAAATAAGATGGCTGCCAGTCGGCCATCTTTGATCCAATTGTGAAATAAATCATCATGGACATGTATCCTAACATGTATAATCTATGTACCAAGTTTGAATGAAAACTGACAAAGCATGTCCAAAATACAACATTTTCAAAAAACAAGATGGCTGCCAGTCGGCCATTTTGAATCGAATCGCTAAAC